AAGTTAATTTTTCCTCAAATTCCAATGCAAAAGTGGAAATACACCTTACGTTTCCTAATTCAGCTTAAAGTGGTTGCGCATATAAGATGGCTGCATCTATTGTGCATAGTTGGCAATTATTTTTATCCCTAATATTTTCTGAACAAGCAGTTTCATGTTTTTGAGTTGATTTATATATTCGTTCCCCCAAACTCATGCTGGTCAAACATGACAAGATTTAGCCAGATTGAGATCCAAGAATTAATTTTAGTAAATACCTTCGTGGTTTTCATGCCATGGTCTAGGAAATATATGCAGAGACTAATGTTAGCTTACTATGTGATATTTTATGGAATCATTTAAGTCTGATTCTAACTCATGTATACAAATGTATACACATTTATAAAAGTATATCAATCTGTATGTCATTACTGCGCTCTGCGGCTCAGATCTAGTTGCGAATTTCAGGTGCATGTCTACAAAAGTCCTAGAAGGCATACAAATGACTAAGTGCCTAATACTGGAATTCAGATTTCTTCCATTTTCAATTAACATTATTTTGGCAAAATGTATAGGAGAACCTTTAAAAAAGAAAAATGACATGAACTCTGCTAAGGAATTTACCTAGTGCCAACATGGCAAATGAAAATTACAGTATTTCATACAATTTTCTGTTTTCCTGGTTCCATCATTGTAGCATACTACCTTATGTATTTTGCCATAAATTGGCACCCAGAAGAGAAAATTACAGTAAGTATTTGATACAATTTTCTGTTTTCCTTGTGCCAACAATGCAGCATACTATAACATGTACGTTGTCATGGATTGGCACTAGGAAAAGAAAATTACAGAAAGTATTTGATACAATTTTCTATTTTCCTGGTGCCGACATTGCAGCATACTACCACATGTATGTTGCCTTGGATTGGCACTAGGAAAAGAAAATTACAGAAAGTAATTGATACAATTTTCTATTTTCCTTGTGCCGACATTGCAGCATACTACCAATGTATGTTGCCATGGATTGGCACTAGGAAAAGAAAAATTACAGAAAGTATTTGATACAATTTTCTATTTTCCTGGTGCCAACATTGCAGCATACTACCGCATGTATGTTGCCATGGATTGGCACCAAGAAAGGAAAATTATAGTAAGTATTTGATACAATTTTTTATTTGAGGTGATTGTAATGATTGTATACAATTTTTTACCAACTAAACACCATCGTTAATTCATCATGGGCATCTCATTAGCTCCAGAAAAAAAATGTAACTGTAGGGTAAGGGTTACAGTCTTAGAAAATTTCAGTACACACATTTTGGTTACATATAATTAGGCTTCATTCTGAAGCATGTGAGAAAGAGATATCCAGCAAACAAGTCTCCAACAAGAGAAATGTAGGCCATTACATATTTCTAGAAACGACCATCGAAAATAACGGTTCTGGTGATTCCTAGAACATTAATATATTGAATTATTATGCATATTTCATTTAATAAATGTTAAGTGTCATAAAGAACTGGTAAATGAAAGCTGATACTTGCACAGTAAATCTGTCCAATGTGTACATAAAACAGTTGATACTGGAATCTTGCACCCCCTGAATGGTATTTTTTTTGGTATTTAAAGAACACTGAGGTGGTATATAGTAAGTGATCTTAAAATATGTCTTGCATAATCTACAATTCTTCCAAATGTTATGTACAAAAATACAAGATGGGGTGGTCTCTCTTTCACTGTGTACCTGGTTTCCCACCATACTGATACATACACATAGAAAGGCATTACATTTTGATTGCACTGTCAAGCCTTCTTAGCTTTGCAATGTGGCCACTTTTTGTGCAAAAGAATTCAGGAGAAGTTTAATTATTTACATCTCCACATTTTAGAAAGTGTGGCCTAGCCAGAGGGTGCAGGTCAGGTAGAAATTCTGGGTTGACATTGTGAAATGCTCACATCTGGGTTGTCACTGGGTCCATACCACGAACTTAATTCCCGATTGGCCCCAGCTGCCTCTCTGGATAATTCTCTTTGTAAACCCCTTGAAGCTGCAGCCACAGTGGTCCTGTTTTCATAACAATGAGATCCATTAATGACATAATACAACATTGAAAGTCCAATGTGTGCTAGTAACTCCGACCAAACACCTCAGCATTTGAGCCACATCAACAGCACAAGATTCCATCATCTTCGAGACCTTGAAATTACAAAGTGACCATGCTCACAGTGCCCATTCTTCCAAAAAGAATTGTTTTATCACCCAGTTCCTGCTAACATATTAGAAGGGGGAAATACTTGAAATGCTAAAAAAAAAAAAAAAAAAAACTTTCAACAAGTTTATGGTAGATAGAAACAGCTGATGAATTCACACACATGGCACGGGAGCTAGAAAAATGAGCCATTTATATGGTGGGTTATCCAGAACCCATAATTCTCAAAATGAGCTTAGTCTATAGCAGCAAGGACCACTTTAGGCAAGTGGCCATTGTGGGCTTTCGTTAGAATTCTAAGGTCAGGTGTCCTATGTTTTTCGACTGTTCCAATTATAGTCTGTACTTCTCTGTTCTAATGATCTGTCCATGGGGGATTTGGAATCGTGAGGAGATCTTTGAGTTGGCGGAGAACGAGGATCCGATAGAGAAGAGGACTGCTGGGAGGCACCTTTATAGTCACCAGGTTTTTCTTGATGGAATGAGCGGTAATGATCTGAAGGTCCTTGTCCATGATATCCCATTGGTGGCCGATGATCAGATCCCATTCTTCTGAAATCCTGTTGATGGTAACCTTGAGGACGAAATTCATCTGATCTTCTCCTCTTGTTGTCATGATGATGTCTACAAAAAAAGAATGATTATAAATCTCTTTGAAAGATCTGTGTATAATCCCCAAAATATAGATACCTGAATATTAACGGTTTATCATCTCTAGTAAAATGTAACACCTGATTTCATCTGAAATTCAAACTGAGTAGAGGAGCAGAATCCATTTCAGACCTTTTTTTTCTACAGAAAAATGTCAAATAAATAAAAAGCAGTATTTATAACCCGAATCTTTGGGGCCATATGAGGCACTTTACTGCCTCGAAAGAGATAAGTGCCTCTTATCTTATATTTTAAAATGAAGCTGAACGAAAAAGTGAAGATTTTCTATGTTATAGCAAGCAAGCACTTAAAAGTGATGAATATTTTGTCTGGAATTACACCCAGAAAATGGGGTTTTATTTCTTGTTACATGAGTGTGCCTAGGCACTCCTGTGGCTATATAGCTGTGTCTGCAGTGTGAGATCTCGGTACCTGTCATAATAATCTCTGTGACCACGATGGTCTCGATCGTTATTATACTGGTCATAAGGCCTCTTGCGGGGTCCAGGGTTTGGTCTGTAGTTTCCAGAATTTCTCCGAGGGTCACCATGAGGACGTCGATCAGAATAATGGTGATCTTTGTACCGGTGTTGATCATACTGGTGGTGGCGGTCTCCTCCCCATGGCTGGTTATTATTACTATTGCCTCCATAGTTAAATTTCCGCTCTCTCCAATCACCACGATCTACATGACATACAACAAAAGTCATTATTTCCAGTATAAGCCTTTGTTAACCTCTATAATACAGTGAGGAACAGAAGTATTTGAACACCCTGCGATTGTGCAAGTTCTCCCACTTAGAAATCACGGACGGGTCTGAAATTCACATTGTAGGTGCATTCCCACTCTGAGAGACAGAATTTAAAAAAACTATTCAGGAAATCACATTGTATGAGTTTTAAAGAATGTATTTGTCTTGCACTGCTGAACAGAAGTATTTGAACACCTGAGAAAATGTGTTAATATTTTATTTGATACAAATATTTTATTTTATTTAATATTTGATACAGAAGCATTTGTTTTCAATTACAGAGGTCAAACGTTTCCTGTAGTTCTTGACCAGGTTTGCACACTGCAACAGGGATTTTGGCCCACTCCTCAACACAGATCTCCTCTAGATCTGTCAGGTTTCGGGGCTGTCGCTTAGCAACACAGAGTTTCAGCTCCCTCCAAAGATGTTCTATTGGATTTAGGTCTGGAGACTGGCTAGGCCACTCCAGAACCTTGATATGCTTCTTATGGAGCCACTCCTTGGTTATCCTGGCTGTGTGCTTCGGGTCGTTGTCATGTTGGAAGACCCAGCCACGACCCATCTTCAATTCTCTGACTGAGGGAAGGAGGTTGTTGCTCAAAATCTCACAATAAATGGCCCCATTCATCCTCTCCTTAATACAGTGCAGTCGTCCTGTCCCCTTCACAGAAAACCCCTCTCAAAGCATGATGTTACCACCCCCATGCTTCACAGTAGGGATGGTGTTCTTGGGATGCAACTCATCCTTTTTCCTCCAAACACGACAAGGGAAGTTTAGACCAAAAAAGTTCTACTTTGGTCTCATCTGACCACATGACTTTCTCCCATGCCTCCTCTGGATCATCCAGATGGTCACTAGCAAACTTCAGACGGGCCTGGACATGTGATGACTTGAGCAGGGGAACCTTCCATGCAATGCATGATTTGAAACCACGACAGCGTAGTGTTCTTCCGACAGTGACCTTTGAAACTGTGGTCCCAGCTCTCTTCATGTCATTGGCCAGCTCCTCCCTTGTAGTTCTGGGCTGATTCCTCACCTTTCTTATCATCAGTGATACCCCACGAGGTGAGATCTTGCATGGAGCCCCAGTCCGAGGGAGACTGACAGTCGTCTTTAGCCTCTTCCATTTTCTAACAATTGCTCCAACAGTTGATCTATTTTCACCAAGCTGCTTGGCAATTGCCCCGTAGCCCTTTCCAGCATTTCCACAATTTTGTCTCTGGTGTCTTTTGACAGCTCTTTGGTCTTGCCCATGGTAGTAGTTGGCGTCTGACTGACTGTGGGGTGGACAGGTGTCTTTAAAGAGCTCAGACAGATGCTACTAAGTTAGATTGAGTGGAGTAGAGGTGGACTTTTTAAAGGCACAGTAACAGGTCTTTGAGACACAGAATTCTTGCTGTTTCTTAG